CGAGAGGTAAGAGCAGGAGTCAAGAGATATTTACCGATAGCTCAGGACTGAGAAAGCCCCAAGGAAAGCCACGCACAACAATCGGTTGACTGTTGTAACTTGTGAAGACATGCAAGCGTCCAGGCAGGCCCCACTGACCCCTGAGCAAGGAGTGGGTGAGTGGCTGGAGTGGGCAATTGTCAGTGGGCAATGTGAGCCAAAAGAAATAAATAGTTAGAACAAGTTGCAAAAACAAAGATGAGAAAAAAAAAGCAAGAAAAAAACAAGATCCTTGTAGCGGTGAATGGAAGAAAGTGGGCTTTGCGCTCGCTTTGGCTGCACGTCAGTTCTGAACATCGGGCAGCGACTAGCTGCCAGTCTAGCAGTTAAGCTAGCCAGTGAAAAGCGCGCAGCAGGATTTTCGGAGTTGACTGGGCTGCAAGAGTCAGGGCCGCTGGTGGCTGCCCCGGCGCTGCTATTGGTCGGTTCCTCCCCGTCAGCATCCCCGCAATCTGCCTGGCTAGGTACATTCTAGTGGCCAGGCAGGGACCTGAGCAAGGAAAAGGACGTGAATTGGCCCACGAAGTATTGAATTTGACTCAAGCATGACAATGGTACCAAAAGAAGAAGAAGAAGAGGAGGAGGAGGAAGAAATAGACACACACCGTAGAAATAGAGACACGCTCTCACAAACTTGCAACCTGCTACCTACTCAAGTTAGCTGCCCGTCCGCCAGCCGTTGCAGCGTTGGGACTACCGTAACGTGCGGGTCTAAATAAATAGGTAGGTACCTAGGTACCATTTACTAGAGTGCCTGGTTGGCCAACTGGCCACTGGTCTGCCTGCATTTGCCCCTTTTGCCTGCGCGTGTGCGCTGGCCGTCCTGCCCGGCCCCCAGTGGGTTCCTGTTATTCGTTTATTATTTTTTAACATCTTATTATTATTCTTGCAGTCTGTTTCTCCGTTTCTCCTCTTAATTAGGTAGCAAACACCGTGGTAGGGCTTCTGCCACTGTACCTGTTCGCTGTAGAAGCCCCCCCAAAAGCACTCCTACCTGGCCTCTGCGCCCCCCCAATCAAACCCCGTCAAACCCCCATCAAACCCCATCACTTCTCTTCTTATTCTCCTCTCCTGCTTCTCTCTCTTCCACCCATCTTCCTTCATCATCACCATCCGACCTTCCCCCTTCCCCTCTCCTTCTCCTTCTCTCTTTATCCGAATATACCCCTCCTCATCCTCCCCCCTGTTCGTCCGAGCTTCATTTTCGACTACATAGTCTTTTCGTCTTCCTCGCAATTCAACAATAGAAAAAAAAGTCTAGCCACTTAACCACCTTTGCGCGCTACCGCATTCCCGCATATCCTCGCGCCTCGTCCACCATAGTACGACAACGACTTTTTGTACCGCTCTCTGCTCGCTACCGAAATCCGAAAAAGAGTGTCTCTCGCCTTTCTCGCCTCCGGACCTTGAGAATTGTTTAAAAAGGTCTCGCCTTCGTCTGTATTTTATTCGACTTCACACATCATATTTGCTGCTGTTTGTTGGTCCTCGGTCGATCTCTTCACCATTGCCACACGCCTCTCTGCCTCTGCCTCTGCTATTGGCACCGTATCGACACTTTACCTCGGATTGACTATTGTTCATCTGCTTTCCACTGGCTTGACTCAACACACACAACTGCTCGCAGTCTGTCCTTGTCCGAAAATCTCTGTCGCCACGCCGGCCCTCACACTCAGAAAAAAAGCCGTTCTTCGCCACGCAGACGGCTTCCATAATTAATACCTGCATCGCTCTCCCTGAGTTACGGTTTACCGCATCCTCTTGGCCCATCTACTTTTCATCGGTTCTATAATTTTCTATACCCGTCTCGGTTTTCCGCTCAACACCCATCAGAAGTTTGTCGCCCCATCATAGCGTCTCTATTTCTACCTCGTTTTTGGATCTCGCATCACCGTCTCGACGACTTTTACCACCTCGACGCCTGACATTGTTTTTCATTCGACTGTTACAATTTTCTCTCCTGCCATTTCTGTTTTGAGATATAATTCGACGTCTCGACATTACTCATCTACTGCACCTACACGCTCTTTGTTCAAGCTGCATAACTATCGCACTTGTCGAGCACTCCTCCCTCACACATAATCCTCTGAGCCATGTACACTGGTGGTCACGCTCAGATGTCTTCCAACAACTACTCTTCTCAGCCCGCCAACGGCCTTCCCATGGCCCCTGCTGGCCTCTCCTCGCGCCGTGGCAGTCAAAATATCAAACCTCTCTCTTTTGATGCAGTCAGCCACCACACTCCTCATGACAATGGCGCCCCAACTCCCCGAACCAGCAGATCTCATCTTCTTGCTGGTCTACGCACTGCCCCCAAGTCTGCCACTGCCACTTCTTTTGGACCTGCCTCGCCCACCGCGCAGCAATTTACTAGAAACAGCATGACTGCCAATCTGCACGGCTACGCCCACGACAACTATTACAACGCTCCCAAGACGGCCTATCCTCAGTATGCCTCGCAGCATCAGCAGCAGCATCAACAGCAGCAGCAGCAACCCGCCTACCAGTCCGCCATGAACCAGCAGTACACTGTCGAGCAGGTACTGGCCCCTCCCGAACTGTCCATGGAGGAGCAAGTTCAGGATCCAAACCTGTACGCTCAGCTGGTCGCCACCAACATGTATCTCGCCCAGCGCCAGCAGCTTCTGCAACAGCAGCTTAGAAACGTGCAGGCTGCCGCCGCTCAACATGCTGCTCAGCACCAGTTTCAGAACCTCAGCATCAACAGCCCTCAGCAGCACTTGCCTTCATTTGAGCAACAACAGCAACTCCAGCAGCAGCAGCTCCAGGCTGCCGTGACCCATGGTCAGCAAATCTACTTCAACCATGCCACCGGCCAGTACTTTGTCGATACCAGCGCCGCTGCCCAGTCGCCCATGCACTATCGTGATAGCAGTACCTCGTCCTTCAACAGTCTCCAGCAGCTTCAGCTTCAGCTCCAGCAACACCAGCAGCAGCAGAGCCTTCCTCGTGTTCAGGTCTCTCCTCCGCCGGAGATTCAGCGCAACTCTCTCCGCAGCGTCTCCCCGCCCAAGCGATTCGACTCGCCTTCGGATACGGTTCCTCTGCCGCCTCCCTCCGCCAATGCCTTCCGTCGCGGTCATAAGAAGGCCTCGTCGCTGGCTCCTGTCAACAGTATTCTCGCCTCTGCTCTCGCCTCTGATGGCCCCAAGTCCGCCGGCCCCAAGACTGCCTCTTTTCCCATCACTCCCTTGACTGGTGGATACGGTCCGGGCCAGGCTCGCGCTGGCGAGCATCCTGTTCGACAGCCCCGCGGCCCTCCCTCTCTCGACGAGCTCAAGGCTAGACCCACTGCCAAACATGAGGGCTCAAAGAACTTCGCTACTCGTACACGGCGCTCTGCTGTTCACAACCTGGTTCGCGCTGGAATGTCGCGTCGCAAGGGCACTGGTAGCTCCTCTGGCAGTATGAGCCCCGTTTCCGAGACGGCCGAGGATTCTAATTCTCCCATCACTGACAATGACTCGGACTCCGGCCGTAGCGGCTCTGGCAGTCTCGCCGGTGAGGAGGAGTGCACCAGCTCCAGGACCTCCGCTAGCGGTGGCTGGGGAGCTATTGGCTCTGATCGCCCGGGCTCTCGTCAGATGACTCGCAAGGGCGACAGCTCCGACGCCACTGGCAGCTTTGCCAACGTCTTCAAGAAGGACCTCGATGCTGTTGACCTGCAGCGCAAGGCTCCCAGAATGGTGCTCACTAGCGTCGAGAAACGCAAGGCTACCCCTGTGGTCTAAGCCTCCGTGCTCATTTTTCTTTCTGTTCTTATTTTAATTTTTACGATTAACGCCCGGACACTGGTGATATGATTGCTCGGATAACCCGAATGCATTTGAAATTCTCGCCTTTTTCTTACTTGTCCAACATCGGGTGTCGTCCAAGTTACTCGACAGCGTGATTGACGACGACTTCTCCCCGGCAATCCAACAAACTATAATTCACTTCTCGGTCTGTCATTCATGCAACATTACACTTACTTTTTACGGCCTTGCACAATGGGATTGAATTCCCTCGGAACACTACAGCGGAGGAACAATGGGCAAACGACAATTTTTGGTCTTTCTTCTTTTCATATTTTTTTCATCATCCTCTTTTTACTTCTACGGATTCGAGACTCCTCTGCATCATCGACGAGACCGAGCGTCTATCTTTTTCACCTGCCCGTTACTGGAAACAGACAGCCTGGTTGCATGCCGTCCAGGGGCATCCGTTGAACGGACCTGGACCGCGCAGTGGGGGAACGATGTCGATGTTTGACTTGGGCGGATTGTTTTTGTAATCTATTTTTATTATCTTTCAGAAGATTTTTTCCTGCACTCTTCAGCTGGCCGTCTCTCTTTCATTCCTGGTCAACGCTGGCAAGTCCATGGTTTACTGAGAATAAGAGAGTTGTGTTTTTGAAGAGCTGCGCATGTGGAGGAAACTGTAGTTTAGATGAACATGGCATAATACATTTCTGTTGCCACTACTTGGAATTCTTCGTTGTGACTGTTCGACCTCGATGCAAAATAACACAAACAAAACAAGAACATGTATGTAAATCAAAGTATATATATATATTACATATATATGGATTGTATGCCTGCCCATCCTGCTTTTCCTATGGGTCTATCAACCATCAACAATAGTCTGCCTAGAACTAAAGGCGACTGTCAAGCGACCAAACCAAACATCAAGACTTGTAATGATGCAAATGTTGAAACAGAATTCCTCTCCTCTTCTTGATCAATCCATGCGCGCGCCGCACCCCCCGCGCTCCTAGCTAAAATGCATGCACCGTTTCTCTTCATCACATCATTGTCTCATTCCTCCCCAGAAAATAGATATTCAGACTATCCGTGTTCCCGGATACGTCACCACCTGGCATCGCTCGGCGCTCGCGCGCGTCTCTTTCCCGTGGGATCCCTTGCCATGCTCTCTCGACGCCCGGCGCCGCTGCCTCCTGCTCCAGCTCCAGCTGCTCCACTACCAGCACCAGCGACGGCGGCGGCAGCACCCCAGGGAGCCATCATCATGCGGGCGGCCGCGGTGCCGCCGTTTTCCTTGTTGCTAGTGCTGCTATCGCTGCGGACGACCATGGGCGGCGCGAGCTCGCCACGAATGCCTGCCGTGCCGACGACGCCACCCCTAGACGTCATGCTGGCCAGCGACGTCCGCGGCAGGCGGCTCTTGGCCGCTGACGACGACGACGACGATGAGGGCGGCATGATGACGCCGCTGCTGCCATGGCTGCTCGTGGTGGAGCTGGCGTCACCGCTGACGCGCCGCGGCAGATTGGTGCCGTCGCGGCTGCGCGGGCGGTACTGCTGGAAGAGGAGGTTGTCGCGGTCCAGGGCGCTGTGCACTCCGCCACCACTACCGCTGCCGGGGACGCCGCGACGTGGACTGGCGGCGACTTCGATAAGGGCGTTGCCAGCGAGGCTGGCACGGCTTCGGTGCGTCGGTGTCTGGGGAAATGAAATGGACGACTGGAGGCTGGGAGGCGTATAGCTGGTGTTGCGTCGCGTGGCGGAGCGCCGCGAAGAGGACGTGGAGCTGCCTTGCGAAGAGGCGATGCTGTCATGGCGCATCATTGCGCTTGGCGAGGGTCGGCCCGCGAGGTGCGATCGCACGAGCTCTGCTGCCAAGTTGCGTACCAGCACGGCAGAGTCGATTTCGGCCAGAGTCTGAATCACTTCCATGAGTGAGCGTACCTGGGCGCTATTGAGCGATGTGGTGCCATCCCCATTGCCTAGGGCAGTGTCGCAGGCGTCGATGATGGTGCGCACAAGACGCAATAGATTCAAACGGACGACAGCCTTTTTGTGTCCCAACCGTTGCGCGATACCAGCAAACATTTCGGGTTTCGCGAGCGAGGCGGCTACGCCAGGACTCAGACGCAGCAGCTTAAGCAAAGGCTCTAGCAAATTTGAGTCGAAAGAGTTGAGACGATTGGTATTGAAGCCGCTGATGATGGCCCTCGTGAAGCTGCCATCAATCAGGTAGCTCTCCACGTTGGCCGTCTCCTCTTGCAGCCATACGAGAATGGCATCAAGCGCCGTCACCTGCCAATATTGGTCAGTCAGCAGGGACACGTAGAATTCGAGACCCTTGTTCTGCCACAAATATCGCCGGCCTTTGGATCCAGAGTGTGCCATGTCGCAGAGTATCGGCAGCACAAACTCCTTTGGCGGTCGATCTGTACGCATGATGCGCAGGAGTAGTGGAATGATGCCGCCGACAGCAGCGTCTTCTTGGCGTTCCTTGTTCAGACGGCAGAGATTGAATAGAGTGTTGAGCACCTGGTTTGAGATATCACGAAAATGAACCTGCCCCTTCTTCATGCCGTAGCTGAGCAAATCGATGAGAAACTCAATGGCATCAGCGGAATGCAACGTCTCAATCGTTGTTGACAGCATGGACAGGTTCTTGATGAACTTGAGCATCGTGATTTGATGCACAGGAGTCATACGGCGCAAATCTTTGAGAACGCTTTTCAGCACCTGCCGGTCTGCCACCACCTCCTTCACATAATTCTCGGCCTGGCTGAAGAGGTAAAAGATGTTGACGATGCGGCCCTCGATGAGTTCCCCAAGCTCATCCTCGCCTTCCTCATCTAATACGCGGTGCAAAACGAGAGCAAGGGGATACAGAATCTTGCTTCGCGAGAAAATCCGGCAGAAGTCATTCTTTGGTGTAGGTCCTTGTAGTTCAAAGACATTCCAGATGCCATTGACGCCAATAAGCACCAGGTCTCGGGCGTTGTCGTAATCTTCATCAAGGAACTCCACAAGGACACTCAAGCCACCTGCAGACACAAACATCTGCAACGTAAGTGTTGAGGTCTGGTACATTTGGCGCACAAAAGCCGCAGCTTCCAGTCGAATTTCGTCCGAGTACTGGCGGGCAGCAAATTTTGTAATGATGGGCATGCCGCCGACGAAGCAGAGGTTTTCTTGGATCTCGACATCGTCTAGAATAATGGCGTTGACAACTTTGAGAAGCTGCAGGATCATATACTGCTTGCTCTTGACAGTGCAAGGTTCCAGAATTTCAAGAATAGGGAGGAGACCGTGGGCGCTGATGACGAGATTCTTGGCTTCCGCATTCTCCCATAAAAGAGCGAGCAAATCCTCTGCAATTTCAGTCAGAGTTTTTTCACCTTGCTCCATTGTGAGAGACCGGACCAAGTCTTCCACCCTCTCTGCTAGCCGCGCGTGTCTGTCACGAGCAATGTTTGCTTCCAAGTCCATCTCATCCCAACCCGGATCCATGGCTGCAAATGGGTCATCTTCATCCTCGTCGTCACCAAGCCAGGAGTTGCTTGACACCTTGGACAGTAGCATCAAGCCGCCATCCTCCGAGCCACGTTCGCTCACTGGTTTTGTAGCGATGGAGCTCTCGGGGCCAAACACATCTGAGAAGTCTTCGTCGTCGTCTTCAGCGAATTTCTGAATTTCCACGGAAGATCGAGTGCGTCGCATTGGCCGATCAGGTAGGACCGAAGGCCTAGTAGCGGCCTTTTTCTTGATACTGCCGCCATCGGGGGCGAGCATGGAGCGTGGAAGGCTTGTAAGATCCGATGGATGAAACAGCTGGGGCGAGTCCGGACCACGAATACCCTAATCACGTTAGCAAGATTCGCTTCCTACTACACTTGACAAACGAACCTTCTTCACTTGGTTGACTTTTTGGTCGAACACATGATCGTTTTCTATAAACACATCGGAAAAGTCTTCGGCGCTTTGCTCGCGGAAGGCAACGTCGTGTCGTGTTGGCAGCTCGAATTTGTTCCCAAAATGAGCCTTGGAAGGAGATCGTGTAGGCTGTATAGAAGAATCTGCAGTATGGGTAGGAATAGACCTTTGTCGGGTATGCCTCCTGGGTTCGGCAGCTTGTGCTGCAGCCTTGGAGATTGGTCGAATGGTCTGCTGTTGCAGATCCAGGTCGTGTTGTGAGGGGCCTTTGATCGTAAGTAGCTCGCCCTCGAAGTCATCATCATAACTAATATCATTTCGTAAATCGTTCGCAGATGCGAAAGCCTTGAGGCGATCGCTAGAGAGCATTCCGCCAAAGTTATCTTGGGTTCGAAGATGTGGCAGCTGGAGCGCACTTGGAGAAATTGTAGTATCAAAATCATTGTCCCAGTTATCGTTGTCGGCGAGCTCAGGCGTCTTGAATGCTTGAACACCGAATTTCGACTTTTGGAGTGACAGCGGCCCCTTGGCGGGGGTGCCCCCGGGGAATCGTAAAGCCGGAGTAGCGTCTGAGCCGGTCGAAGTTCGTAGATGAGTTTCCGAGGAGTTTAGGGCTTTGTTCCACTGCTTAACTTCTTCAACGGCTTCATTAAAGTTGGCAGGCGGCTTGGTGACTGGTGCATCGGCTCGGCGGCAGCCAATAATCCAAGCATGCTTCATTAGCTTTCTTGCTGTAACTCGCAAGTTGGGGTCTTTTTGGAAGCATTGCATAAGAAAATCTCGGGCAGCGGCGGATATGCCTTCGGGTAAAGGAGGGTGGTCGTCGTTAACAATGGCAAAGAGTGCAGGCATGGCTGCTAGGTTATGGTAGGGCGGCCTTCCTTGGAGCAATTCAATGACGGTGCAGCCAACACTCCAGATGTCGGAAGCGGAGCTGGCACCGGAAAGCTGGATGATTTCGGGAGCCATCCAGTAGGGAGTGCCGACAACTTGAGCTTCCTTGTCCTGACCACCTGCTAAGGTGCTCGTCGAAACACCGAAGTCTGCCAATTTGACGGTGCCATCTTTAGTTGTGAGGATATTTGCACCTTTGATATCACGATGAATTACACCCTGGTCGTGCAGGTACTGAAGACCTTTGAGAACCTGCGTCATATACACGCCAACAAGGTTTTCTGGAAACTTGCCGTAGGATTTGCATATCGAGTGAAGAGAACCATTCTCGCAGTATCTAGCGCCAGTCAGCGAAAGCTAGCAGACAATGGGCGAAGGCTTGAGCCTTACTCGAGGATGATGTTGAGGCAGTTGGTAGATTTGACGAAGCCGATGTACTTTACAATATTATCATGCTAGGCGTGTATCAGTAACGAAGTAGCTCTGGATATCCTGATTGTGTGGAACGTACATGGAGATTTTTCAAAAGATCGATTTCGCTCTAAGTTTGGAATGGCTGTTAGCTTGGGGTGACACGACAGAAACCAAGCTCTTAGATGTAACGTACCTCGATCATGCGCAGCTCGCTCTTTGGCAAGTCTCCAAGCTTTATTTGCTTGACGGCGACGGCCTCGCCAGTGTTCCAGTTAAAGGCCTTGTAAACAGAGCCGAATGCACCTTTGCCTATGCACTCCCCAAGGCGCTAGACCGGGAACATCTTGGTAAGTGAAGGCTTGAACGTGTGGTGCAATGCTGGGATAGGTCTGGGGTTGGACAAGACGTGGTAGAGGTAGCTGGCAACATACATAATCCTTGAGCATGGGGTCTTGATGCGCAGAGCTTTCCCGTATCTTTTCCCTGCGCGAGGGGGTAGCCGGCGCAGAGCTCTTTTCTCGCGTAGCTAAAACGCCGTGGCGGCCGTCGCCAGACTGGGCGTGCCGATCGACCGGCATGGCTATGGCTTCAAGCCAAGGTCGCCTTGGAAGCGCTACCGGCCTCGGAATATCGCTATTTTCGTGCCTGTTGGGTCGGTCATGCAGCTTCTTTGGCGCTGCACCAGTCTCTAAAGCAGATTTGTAACCGATTCGTCAAAACGCGATGCCGGGTATTGTGGCATTACCAATGAACGACGTCTGCGGGTTCGATTTATTGCGTACACGTAAGGGAGCGAATAGTTCAATGCGGGTTGGGGCCGGGTCTCGTTGTCCAGCAGCGAGCAGGCGTGATGTTTCCGAAAATCGAGACGTCAATCAAAGGAGCGAAGAGAGGGTAGAGTATGGTGTCGAGAAAGCATGCGCGGCTTGGGTCACATTCGGTGCGGTGTAGAGCGCCCTTGGCCGGGAGGGTAAGTAGTCGAAGGAGGGCCGCGTCGCAGCTTGGTGTGGCTATCAACTATCTCAAGAGGCGGTGCAAGGGTGATGGGCAGATGCCGAACATGCCGTAGGAAGGACGCAATCCGTAGCCGGACTCTGAAGGGCGCCGTGCGGTGAGAGGAGTCTCGATAATTGGTTGAAGGGGGACAAAAAAATGATGTTTTGGCTCGACGGAAAACACGAGGCAAGTTAGCTAGGCGGGCAGGCAGGGCGGTCGTGAGCTTGGACGGGCCGCTGGACGGGGCACCGACCGACACAGCGTGCAAGGTGCAATAGGATTGATTTTGACGCAAAGACGTCGACGTCTCCGGGACGATCAAATGGCTACTGAGACGGGAGAGACGAGCAAAGCTCAGTTGTGAGAATCGAATCGATCTGTGCTGGTCGTTACGTTCGCAGTTTGTCGATGGTTGCCCTCCCGTTGTGACAACCAAAGCATGGAAGTGGAGTAGCACAGTACCTGGTACCTGATTCTGGCGCAGGGCAGAGCTATTATTGTTTTTAGTGTATTTATTGTGACTGATGAATTGTACTTGTTTCGTACCTAAATACTTAAAAAAAGCTAAATCGGGGAGTGCAGCGAATTCCTCGTGCTACAGGGATTGTGCGAGGCGCGGAGGCGCTGAAAGGAACGTGGTACTCTGTACCTACCTCTTACCTACCTAGGTACCTACCTACCTTAGGTACCTGTACTCCCCCAGCTTGAAGCAGGAAGCTACCTGGTAGGCTGCTCAGATAGATGCCGTGTTCCTGCCCACCTATCCAAAGGGCATCTTCAAATCTAAACATTGGTTAGTGTTGAACCAAACACTGTTCATGGCCTATCAAAAAACAACTCTCATGCGCATATGCAGGCAATTTCCTTGTCTGTGGCTGATTCAGGCACGCGAGTCACTGCCGCCCAACAGGCTCCAGCGGCCCAACCAGCCGCTTCCGCTGTCCGCATCCGCTGCAAGATACCGTTACAGTGATTCTTTCAGCCCTGTTTCCAGCTCTTTAGGCCAGGCATGATGGCACATCTCATCCCGCCCTGGAAAAGATGCACAAATTATTCAGATTCAGAATACGAGGACGTGCTGCGATTTATAACAAGACATGCAGTAGCCCCTTTGCAACAACAAAGTCCGGCTTGCCGGCCGCCTGCCCGCCATACCAACCGGCTGGCATGCTGCTCGCCCTCGTGGCGCCAACGACCTTGTCCATCCATCCGCCAACTGCTCCATGCGCTCGTCAAGGAGGGCTACACACATCTCACCTGCATACTCATACGCTGATGCTTGCAACACAACACCACGACTACTGGTAGTCATGACACGGTGAGCCAAAAGTACAATTATAGACTGCTGTTGTGCATTCATCCGCGGTCATTTTCCCGGAAACAACCATCAACCCACCCACCTGTACCTACACTTGCGACACTTGCGACGCCCCGTCTTCAACATGTTATTATAGGGCAGCATGACCAATAGTACGCAACAAGCACGCACATCATCCCTCTTGACCCAGCATTTCGCTTCAGCCTTCAACTTGAGCTAGTGATTCAAAGTGCGTCACCGAGCCCCGTGTCACTCTGCTGCCCGACCGACTCCCGAATCTTGCTGCCCACTCTATTATTAGGCCATTGTCCCACCTCGATACACACATCACTACATGGCATCGTGAATTTCTTGCGAGGATACTATTGCTGACTATACCAGCGAAGTAACTTCCGTATGTAGCGAATCATCTTGTCCATCATGGCTGTTCCACAAGCTTACTGATAGCTTTGCCATGCTCCCCCCCAGACAGCCCCCATGAATGCAGATCCTTCACTGCCACCCCAGACAATAATATATACATGCAGATCGGGTAATGTACATCAATGCTTGCACAGCAATTTCGCTCGAGTCCATGTTTCCGCCATGTTTCCGCGAGTCAGCTACCGGCCGACCCCCATTGACCCCGAGTTGAAGCACAACAAGCCAGACTGAGCCGGTTTTATCCCACGCCACGCTTATATTATGCATTTCAATTCTTAGAATGCCCTTGAGGCCCCTTCTTGGAGCTGCAAGGGAACAAATCTGAATACCTGCTCGTACCGCTTCAACTTGTACCCTGTTGAGACAGTGTACGGCTGAGACCAGCCGCAGCCCACCATTCTTCCGGTATGTCTTCTCGTTGCGCCAAGCTTCGCATAATGTGTTGCATGCCAGACCAATCCTCTTCTGCAGGCGCTGCACCAGGAGAGAATGTCATCATCCTAGCGTGTCGCGGTAGGCTGGTATTGTCCTGCTCTCCGGCACCAATCGAGGCCCGCGCGACCCATGAATCTGACCTGTTGCGATCCGGCATTGGTGCTCTGTTCAAAGCCTGACGTTCTGCTATGCTGGGTGCATCGGGATGTTCAAACACAGGATGGCGCTGCTGAGGCACTGCTCGCCTGCGGTTGATAGATCGTGCGTAGTGCGGCATGGGCTCGTGCTGGCGGTACTCTAGTCGAACCCCGCGATTCCGCGGTGTCCCCCCCAGAACCCTGCCGTTTGAATCGCGTCGTCGTCCCCCCGCAACACCTTCGTCTATACCACGTGGCTGTTGTCTCAAGACCCCTTCGTTTGGATCAGAGTGCTCACACCCCGAATCGCAGCCTGGGTCCACGGGTGCATCGTCGAAGCCGTCAGGGAGGATTGACCCGCCGGTGGACGGCGCGGCTGCGGTCTGGCCTGCGCTCTGCGTGCCGGTTGCCGAAGCAAACGAAGTGTTGGCACTCGGTGGCTGCGGATCTGGGGCCAAAGTTGTGAACAAGGTGTCCCACTCTTCCGGGCTAATGCTTCGCTCGCGGTCACCAAGACCGTCGATACCGGTGCCGTGCTCAGTCGACTGGCTCCTGGCTCTGAGAAGTCGCTCGCGCTGAATGACACTCATGCGAAAACGCTGCTGACGAGCGCTTTGCTCTGCCCGGGATGCATTCTCCGCAGCCAGCGGAGACGAGGTACGCGCGCGCGCGGCTTCCAGAGTGTCAGGGCTACGCGTGAACCGCGACGAAATAGGAGTCATCTGCATAGTGTGAATCAGCAACAGTGATTCCCACCAAGATTGGTAGAAGACTCACCATACGCGGACGTCGGGCACGTCCTCGTGGATCGATAGACCACCAACCGAGATCCGTTTCCTGGTTTTCCTCTTCTGTGGGAGGCCCGGGGGGTAGGTCATGCCAATTGGTACCAAGTACTGAAGCCATGTGCTCTTCCATACGCTGGCTCATGCGCTGGCTTCTGCGAGCATCCTCGCCGTTCACAGGGCCAGGAGGATCTAGACGGTCCGGTATAGGTCGCGACTGCGAGGCGCCACGGGTAAGCGCCCCCGACGCAGGCGATTCAATCCACGGCAGCGGGCGCTCCAAATTCCTGCCGGATAATGTGCGCTGCACGGGGCCGTAGATTCGGGCTGCGGCGCGACGCGCCACGTTTCGTTGGCGTTCGCGCGAGTGAGCGCGATCAACGCGACGAATAGAAGTGCGCGACGGCGATGTAGTGGAGTTTTTGTGCGAAGGTTTTCGAGCCACGTCGGATTCGACAGGAGCGACAAAAAGTCTATGAGTTCGTGATAGTTAGCGCATCATGCTGTGTGCAAGTCATCAGGACCGGGGGCATGCTAGTATCCGCATCCTCATCTGTTGCGACCATGCTTTCCAGCGGCGCCGCATCAATGCACAGAGGACGCGCAATACACAATTCGATAGAAGATAACACACGATACGAGTTACAGATGCGGACAAATGCTTGCGCGCAATGAACTGGATGAGGGTGGCGCATGCCAATCCATGGCCGCAGAAGTAAGGCACTGAAACTTACGGAAGACCCATTTCGGCAATACTGTCGCAGGAAATTTGGTCAAGAAAGAGCAACAAATTAATGTCTCAAGCGACCAGAATCATTGGAAGACGACTACAATTTCGAGGCGACAAACTGGCACCGTTTTGTGATGGCCCAAGTAGAAGCAGGATCGCGGCCTTGTAGATTGGTGGAGAGACGAAAAACGGAGCCGCCGGTCGGGAAACGGGGGATGGCCAGGTGCCAGCACTGAGAGTCTGAGACGGGGGGTTCCTGCTCGAACCTTCAATGATGGCGGCTCCAAAGGTGGCTGTGTGGACGCTTTGTCCAGGAGAAACCCGAATCAGCCCATTTACGGAACGGGTCCTTCTATTTCCGTGCATTCTGTGGCGCACAAGCTGTCGGGATGTGGCGCAGCTGGCTCACATTAAATCTCAAGCTTGTTTGCTACCATGCTATCATAACGCTCTCTATTCCGCGACCACGCTCGTCTTCATGACAGTTTCAATGAAGCGGCTCAGCTGATTAGCTAGCAGTTTTACCATATTTGAGTCAGAGAGGCGTCCCGATAGGCCTGCAGTAGGGCAATCGCGATGCCTTCCGCTAGGGACCTCAAGCGAGCTCTGGACCGTGTCAGGTCAGCCATCCCAGCGCAACGGAAATTGGAGGGCGACAGGCGCAATATTCGTCTCGGTTTGGAGCGTATCACTCGAGCAATTCAAAAGGAGCAAACCTGGATCGGAATCCACGTGGGAGGCACCAACGGCAAAGGCTCAATATGCACCCTCCTATCCTACATGTTTAAGCAATGCGGTGTTAGCCATGGCGTTTTCACATCTCCATCACTCTTTGGCGCCCGGCAGTCAATCACAATCAATGGCATGTATGTCAATCAAAGGCTCTACGAGTCCGAGATAGAAAACGTGCAAAGTCGGTTTCACAGGGCCGCCTCTGGCTGGACGTTCCAGACTGGTGAGGATCCCGGCGAGCTGACACCCTTCGAGCTTGACACAGCGGTTGCTTTTCGTGTCTTCAATGCTCTACGCGTAAAATACGGCATTGTCGAAGTTGGCATGGGTGGCGCTTCAGATGCCACCAATGCCATGCACGAAAAGGGCGTTACCGTGATATCCAAAATTGGCCTCGACCACCAAGAGTATCTTGGAGAGACGATTGAAGAGATTGCCAGTGTCAAAGCCGGCATTATGCGCCCGTTTGTTCCTTGCATTATCGATCATACCAACTCAGTCGAGGTACTTCGCGTTCTTACAGAACACGCCCGCAGTATCGGCACTCCTTACTATTTGACCGACGACGCTACCGATCTGCTGAGTCCAATCGACACCGAAAAGTATCATCTGGAGGACTATGAGAAGCAAAACTTGCTCTGCGCCTTATTAGCATTCAAGAAGCTATTCCCCAAGATGGAAATTGACCTCAACCAGCTGCTAGAGAAACGTCCATACCCACCCGGGAGGAAGGATCTGATCTCGGTGCGCGACCTCACAAACGGGCTTCGAGAGCAGTCCATCTTGGTTGACGGCGCTCACAACGTGCTCGGAGCACAGGCTCTTTCTACCTACGTCAACAACCAGATACGCCAGGCAGATGAGCCAGTAACTTGGATCATGGGTCTCTCCGCGAGCAAGACGAAACCGTTCGCCTCACTCATTGAGACTCTTATAAAGCCGCAGGACCGATTCGCCTTTGTCGAGTACCAGCCACTCCCAAACGAGCCATCTGCGGTCCCTGCCCAGCTCGGACGCGAGATTGCCGAATCTCTCCTCACCAGCAGCGAGCAAATTTACGACGGTGACCCTAGTGTCGACGCTGCCATGCAGTGGGCATGCGAGAAAGCCGGTAATGCAGGGCCCATTATTGTCACGGGAAGCCTGTATCTCATTCGAGAATTGTACAACACCGAGGGCGTCTACACGCGGCGCAAGTTCAAGACGATGCGGCCTGGTCGGTCGCAGCTGTGGTACTACACGCGGCTCGCGCAGACCCGCGAGCTGACAGAGGAAGAAGCGCGCGAATTCAAGCAGGCCCGGCGCCACTGGCGCCTCAACCCCATCCGCAGCTCCGCCCTCGTCCCTAACGACCAGGAGCCGCCGCGCACCTCCCCGGTCGTGTCTCCGGAGTCCCAGGAGTTGCAGCGTCGCGCGGCCTACCACCAGCAGCAGGCCAACCGCTACGCGAAAGCCGTCGAGAGTATCCGTCTTGACAAGGTCAACGGCGTACCAACGCGGACACCTAACCGGGCTGCAGAAAAGGACTCCGATGCGGCGGAACCCATCACCGTCGAGCCCGTGGACATGGAACTGACGGTCGACGAGCTTTTCAAGCGCCGAGAAGAGCACATTGCCGCGTACAAGGACACCATGTATAAGCTGCGTGGCTACAGAAAACCCATTCCCGAGATGAAGTTTATGAGCTACGCAAAGATTTTTGGGCGTCCGCCGGGTCCTTTTCACGCCAAGCCGAAGCAGACCTTGCTGGAGGAGGCGGGGCCAGACGAGGGAGCAGAGCCGCGGTCGGATACTTGGCTCTCAAAAGAATCAAGTCGTAGTAATGGCAGATCAAAGCAATGATTCGTGAAAGATGACGAAATATTGACCATTCTGTCCTTTTTTTTATTGTATACTATCAATACCACCATGGCGCATCGTTTGGATCCGAGCGCGATTACCTCGCGTAAATTAACTCATAGAAGAAGTCGGATCTTTTTCTATAACAAGGCTACAACACATGAGTACAATTTCTCTCTGTATATTATCTCCTGGGCAGTTCTTCTTGCAGTACCGAGATTGAATGGTTGCATAGTTAATGGTTAGACGCATTCAATTTGCCAATGAACTGTCCTTGCTGTTATAATGTTGAAGATGGTAGGCCAACTAACCCAAGGCAACTGCACACAATGCGACACTCAGACGAAAACTCTTGAACAAGGCCTGATTAACCCTCTACGAAGCAAGCTCGTTGTGGGCGCTCTGTCCCGAACTGACCACGGCCCTTTTCGACCCGCGACATGTCACACGCTCCCCTCTCTCACGCATCCTTCTTCCCGTCGTTGCGCGATGCTTTGGGAAGACTTTGACGTGGTCGCCAAACTAAAACCTCGAATACAGATATGAACCCACCTCTCTTTACATCTTGGCCCTGCTCTCCTTTTCCCGCGGTCCTCGCGCCACCGCATCGACCAAAAACGCCACCGCGTCCGTCACCATGTCCTTTCCAAACGCGTGCCCGACATCCTTGTACACTCTGCTGTCCACGCTGATCCCCGGATACCAGCTCTCGCTCGCATTCTTCAACACGTCCACGGTCGACTGGCCCACCGCGTACGGCACGAGCTTGTCGCGGCCGCCGGAGCACAGCAGCAGGCGCTTCCCCACGACGCGGTGCCGGTCCAGCACCTGGCGCACGCGGTCCCTGTCGGCGTCACCCAGCGGCAGGCCCGGCACGGGCTCCGTCCCGAACAGCATGGCCTTGGGGTCGTGCGCGGCGCATGTCCGGACGAGGCTCGCGGGGAAGTGGCGGCTGCCGAGGAAGCTGCTCCCCTTGGCGACGAGGTTGCCGGTGGCGGCCCGGCTGCTCATGAGGTCTACGCCCCCCCCCCCCGCGAGGGAAATTGCGTCAGTGTGCCACATTTTCTTTTTTTCAAACCTTTACGCAGAGAGCAAAGAGATCACGTACTGATAAAGTCGGGGCATCCCACAATAACCACCGCTGCGTCGATTCTGTCCTCGCCCATCCACGCCTGCCACGCGCTGTGCCCACCGAGGCTCCATCCCAGACAGGCGTGCGCGTCGGCCCTCACGCCGAGATACGCCTCGACCAGGTCCATGAGCCCAGCCATGTCCGCGACCGCGCCCTTGACCATGCCCAGCATGTCGACGGCGTGCGTCGCGTTGCCCCGGTCCCACGCCTCGTTGGCCGTCGCGCTGACGAGCCGCGTGCCGTGGTTGGGCATGTCAAAGGCGAGGGCGATTAGTTGGCGGCCGCGCGGGGAGCTGGCGGTGTCGGCGTGCCAGGCCGCGACGGCACGCGCGGCAATATCGGCCATCTGGCTACGGTCGCGCGTGCGCGGGTGCAGCAGCCACAGGCAGGTGGTCGGAAGCGCGGAGCGGTCCGCGGGGAGCTCGTCGAGGCCGTAGACGTCGACGAGGAGGCCGGCCATGGGAATGGTGTGCCGGGAGACGGCCGGCGCAGCCGGAAGGCCTTTTGTGCTGTACGATGTCAGATTCTCGGCCATGGCGTCGGACTGTTAGGTTATTGATGTTTGGTGGCGTGTAGATAGGTTTGGCTGGTATGAAGGTGAGCGTAGAAGCGCCTCGGAGAGTCAAGAGTAGGCTAGTCGTGCCAAGATGAGCATATCCAGAACAAGGCAGTGAGAATGTTCATGCAAGTCGACAAATAGACGGCAAGTGCACTAGAGAGTTCTTTTTCTGGATTCGACTGGTTCTAAATGTATATGAAACGGCTCGGTCGGGAGTCAGGGCTGAGGTCCGAAATCATGGTGGGGTAAACGGGCGAGCCCGGCTAACTCGACCGTCTTCACAAATCAAGCAACAATTTGAAGCATAGTTGCGAAGATGGAATAATTCATCAACTTCCCCAACTCCATCCGGAAAAGACGAACATTATAGAAATGGTTCTAGGTATGAACAAAAGAATGTTAAATAGAAAGAAGACATATATATATCACCATCGCCATGCTTCTGGGAGAAAAGAATACATAAAGAACAAAATTCCTAAAACCGTGATAACGCCACTCTGAAGCTTCATGGAGCCTCATGTCAGAAGAAAAAGAAGAAGAGGAAGAATTCTTCAGTTCACTATTTTCCATACCATCATCCCGAACCCAGTGTTTTTGAGGAGAAGAAGAGAAACGTGTACTATGTGCTATTGTGAAGAAAATGAAGGCGTGAAGAACACTCGGCAGCCGTCAAAGTGTGCTCTTTAGTTTGAGGGTGGCATGAAACCGTGGACGTCGATGGTAACGTCATGGTAGAGCAGATGAAATATTGACTGAGCTGGAACATAATGTCCAAGTCCAATTGCTTGACAAAGACAATTTGGTATCTTGCAGAGAAAATGTAACATCAAACAAAAAAAAATCGAACTAGTCCACTTTCCAGTGATCTTGTTGCTCAGCGCCGAGGTAGAGCTCGACACCATACAGGACCATGGTGAGGCCAACGTTGATCCAGCGCCAGTTGCTGCTGCCGGCATCGCCGGCTCGTAACGTCCAGCCGTCAGGCCCTTCGCTGGCGGAGAAGTGTTGGAGCAACAAGCTCGTGTAGACAGACACAAGAATGGACGGGGAAAACCAACTGAGGATGCCGAGAAAAACGCTCGAGGCTTCGGTGTCGTCAAAATCGGGATCACGCAGTAGGGCTCGCGCACCGAGGTCGCGCACCGAGGGAATGATGCGGGTCGCACAATAAAAAACGAGAAGTCGGTACGTGAGAGATATGATGACGGATGGCGTAATAGTCTGAAAGGCAGCATAGAGGAAGGCGAGCGATGAATGCATGGCGCTCGGGAGGGAGCTGAGAAGGTGCATGATGGTCGAGTATGAGGCCATGATGATGGGTGGCAGAGGCGGGAATTCGGGCTGGGCGACGCCAATATCCTCGGGGTTGGCAGCCGGGTCGGACGGCATATAGTCGGTGAAGATTTGATAGACGCAGAGGACAACGTAGGCAAAGAGCAGCGATGACTCGACAGGGCTGCCGCGGCCGCTCCCTATACCGTATGCGCAAAGGAAGACGGCAGTGGTCATGGTGACACCGATGAGAGTAGCGTCGAAATTGCTGATTTGCGGGAATTGGGCAACTCGCCAGAGAAAGTAGACGGCACTAGCTATAATGGAAGCAGAGAAGACAAGGAGAACGATCTGGACAGTAATGAGTTAGTTTTAAAAGATATAGCTAGTTGACGGGGAAAACTAACCACCCAAGTATCGCTGCGTCCACGGTTGACAAGCCAACGGGTGATCTGGCCGGCGGCCTGGATGACGAGCAAGGTGCAGAAGCCTTCAAGCAGCTGGAAGACGGGGCCCGAGTAGCGGAGGATGTTGTCCCAGATGCCGAGAGTGACCGTCTCGAGCAGGCCATTCTTGCCGAAGAAGTAGTCGGACCAGGACGACGACGTCCTAGACTGGAGGACGCCGCCGAGTGTGCGCTCAACCCAGCCCGAGTTGGGGGCGTCGATGGCAAACTTGCCCAGGGCCCAGATGAGCAGCGAGGGGATCACCACCCACTGGGAGAGGCGGAGAAAGGCGTGGACGGACCAGGCGAAGCGCGACCTTTCAGGAACGGCGATGCGGAGACACGAGTAGGCAAAGTAGTAGACGAAGAGGGCGAGGCTGTAGGCGAGGCCCGAGTCGCGGCCGCCGACATCAAAGGCGACTGGTATGGAGAGGACAATGGTGAAGAGGAAGATGGCGCTAAACAGCACGTTGAATGTCCACCACATCGGAGCGACAGGTGAAGCCGCCCGACGAAGGGGTGGCGTGCAAAGAGATTTTCTTGATTATTCCGCAACAGTCGTTGTGCTTTATCACTGACGTGGTGATTATTTTTTGTCTTGTTTTCGCTCTTTCTTTGCTTGTGCCTATTGCAAGGGTCCACCGATCACAAGCTTGGTGATTTCGGCGGAGCCCAGGAATAGGGTTGGAGCTGCAGGCTGAGCTTGGCCGTTGTAGGGTCGCGGCAGCGAGTGATATCGGGGGTAGGCTTCGGTGTTCGTGGTGGCGTCGAAGTTTGTCGAGATGTGCGTGCAAGGCGAAGAGTCGTTGGGGTGGGAGAGACGAGATGAAGCGCGTTGACAAAGTCAAGGTGGTGGCGGATTGGAATTTTTGGTGGTGGTAGATTGGCCGCCCTCTGAAAATGTGATGGCGGTCTACCTGCAGTCACAAGAGGACACTGTGCTAAGAATCAAGGTTGCTGATCCAAGGTGGGAGCTGATAAGGTGTGTTTTCAAGGTCAAGCTACCTCTCCTTGGCAGCTACGGCGATGTACCTAGAAGTACCGCTGTGTAGCTTCCAGCGAACTGCCAACGGATGCAAGGTGGCGTTCGTTGCCAGAGGTGCCTGAACAGCTGAAATCTTGCGGGTCAGCGTACCTACAGGTACTTGTTTTAGCCTCTCGCCTGACAGGTACAGCTGGGTTCATCGCGTGACTGGGTCTTGTTGATTCCTGGCGACGCGACGGCTAATTTGGGGAGCGTTTTGAGCCACACCATGTTTTTTCTGCTACCTAGCCACAATAAAGCCACACGACGCGTTTGATGCCTCTCTATCCGCATTTGTTTCCAGCAAATTTGACAGCGATTGGCTTCAACTCACGTTCCTTTATGGCTACGTCGCCAATAATTACGGTATCACACTATCCGTTTCCCTTCAAAAGGGTACCATTAAGTCCCTATAGGTTCCTGATATTTCTTCGCTCTCGATGTTCAAGCGAACCTCGATGATCGGAGATAATCATACCCAAGGACACGCCTCTGCCAGTGACAACGTTGATTCACCCCGCACTTTGCCAGCCACACCCGGAATCCCGGCACGCGGGTGTGCTCATCTCCTCGCCAATATGTCCCTCGTTCCAATACTTTGACTAAAGAAGCCAGTCTGGCGACGCCCACGTGCATATCAGGCAACAGACGTCTACATAGTCACACCGCCAGCCGAACGTGTGTTGATAGCTCCCCCAAGCCGTTACAACGCTGCTGCTCTTGTACGCGCAAAAAAAAGAGCAGTTCCAAAGAGCCTAAGCGCCCGTCATAAAGGAAGAGTAAGAGAATAACTCTACCTTTTCAGGTGTCTACAGACTCTGATCCCTTCACTTCAATCCAAATCACAAGCCTGACAATATGCTGAATTCTAAATGATTGAGACATCTATGGATCTATGATGGAGCCAGCATGCAAAGCGCTCATTTGCCATAATTGAGCTCTTATACACCAACTCAGCTGTTACAAAAGAGATGCAAACCATTAAGTGGACGCTCTCTCGCGCAACTTCGAGCGGCGCAGGGAGAGGCCAGGCGCGCGAGGCCAGGCGCGCGGCGATTATACTACATAATGAGAAAATGCTCGGATGTATGAGGAATCAGAAAGCCAGCGCATCGCTGACGGGGCCGTAGCCCATACCAAAGCCCTCTACGGCGGAAAAGGCAGCCTTGACACCCTTGAAGTGCTTTCTGTTTCCAATGCCGCCGATCATGCCGCCGATATCAAATGAGCGAAGCCCGATTCTACAATACATCTGATTTTCCATCACGAGACGCTTGCCGTGGGTGGCTACGTCAGATGGGCCATTCCTTGATGCTTGGAACGAGAATACTAGATCACCAATGTAAGCGGAATCTCAAAGGACAATCGATGCCAAACTATCAAACCAATATTTGTGAAAGTGGACAGCTTCAGAACACTTGCATCTACTTCCTGCGGCAAGAACATCGTCTTATAGCCCGGAAGCCGTCCTCTTTAGCATTCAGTCTCGGCACTCGCTGGAATTCGTGCCGTACCATGTCCCGGATAACGCCCATGGTCGTCGCACGGGGCTCGAATATGTCTGGAAGATTGTCGAGCACCCAACAAAGGAGTCGTAGGCGACCTAAGCTTCCCGCCTGCGCAGACCCTCACTGTTAGCTCCTTGTGGCAAAGGACTGCTGCGTCGTCACGGGTAAGCAACGTAGCCATGCCCCAGCCGCCCCCCGAAGTCTCGCCTGACGTCTTCGACCTGCATCTGCAACACTTTGACATCTGTAGGCGGCATGTCGAGAACTACCTGCAGGCCTAAAACGTTGCGAATGTCTTGCAGCACCAGATTGTTGGCGACGTGGTTCATGGTTGAAGTGGTACAGTCGCGAGGATGGGGCGGAAAGTGAGCCACCTTGGGTAGGTTCAGCAGCAGAAAAACGTTCTAGGTCTTGCTAAGCATACTCGCCAAATGGCCACAATGCATTTCAGTTGGCGGCTGGACGAAGGGGACTGGAAGAAGAAAGAGGGAGAAAAAGTAAACTGACGCAACGGAAACGTCAATGGCAAAATTCTCCTTATTGAGGGCTACATGGCTGGGGGTGTGCTTGACAATGATGATCTCTTCAGGTGTTTAAGTATTAATAAGGCTGTGGTAAGAGGTCCATGAAAGATGATGTCGGTCCCACTAGCTGCGGTTCTACATTAAAGTATGCGCAAGGGGTTTCTGAGAGCTCGTGCATGGAAGAGGCGAGTAGCCGTTTCGGTTCCTCGGGCTATGGCGGTGTCATCTCGATTGTTTGCACAATAAAGGGTGCTAATGGCCGCTGGTCTAAACCAGCTGTTGGACCTGGAGACTGACCAACAGCTCAGGTATCTGCATATAATTTATTTTTGGAGAGTTTCAGTAGTCTCCCTAAAGTCGTGAATCACGATCGTGATTAATATAATTACGTTGCTGATGCTGCGAGAAATGGCCGTAACGAGTGAATCATGATGACTATTGACAGTTTCCGGATGCCCTTGATATGCCGATTGCGGCTAAGTCCTCCCCGCAATCTGAGATGTCTTTTGCGGCGCCAGCGCCCCTCTCAATTGGCATGTGGAAGCCAGACGAGTAGTCTCCATCTCAGACGGCAATCCAGATGGCTTCGAATCTCCAAAAGAAACAAAGCTGGTGCTGTAACGAAAGAAGCCTCCGTGATGGTAAAATCTGAAATCTGAAATCTGCCACCTCAACCTCCAGCTTCATGTCGCAATCGACGGGGCAACCTCGAGTTCATGCGAGACACATCGACAAATCATCGACAGCTGGGGTCCCGCATGCGGCGAATTGAAAGCACATGTCGCAGTCGTACCCATCCAGAAAACAACCTTATTCCGAAGTCAGGGTCCGGATAGATGCACCACCACAACCCGTACCGCGCAATTGCACCAAGACGCACGCAATACCCTGGCATGAATGACCGACGGTCCTGGCAAGGCGAAAATTCAGCAGCTGAACTCCGACTGTTGGGGCCTTGACGGCCGACCGCTCCAGACTAGGTACCTATGGCGTGCTTTCGTATTGCACTCTAAAACAAGGGCGCAAAAAAGTTGGCTCTGAGGCGCTCTTGTTTGCTGACCCAGTGCTGATAAGAAGCCTGTTTGGCGGATTGCGTGATGGGAAATTCCAAGACGGTGGGCCGAATCTCGGATGTCTAGACGGTCGTCGGCTCAGGGATCATGTTTGGTAGCGTGACATGTTGCCGAGTTGATGCTGGCCAATGTAGAAATCCGATATTTTGGTGATGCGTCTTAGCAGTAGGCTTGCTCTCAATGTATCGGTAGTACATCAAATTAGGCAAGTAATTCTAGATAGCCTACGGCTTGCTTTGTTGCCTTTCAGTGTGTGATGACCCCCAAAGCCGTATTTACAAAACGCCGATAAGTTTGAGGCATTGCATTTGATGGCGTAGTTTGGTTCTATGGTGGCCTGTTTGCTCAATCTCTAGGAAGTACATACCTACC